ACAGGTCGTAACAAGGCTCCTCGGCGGTCGTGTGTGTAGTCTAAAAGCAATGGTACTGAGGACATATTTGGTTCGAATGCGACCTCGCCCTCTCGTGTCCGTTTGCGGGAGGTAAGACAAATAGCGGGTGGATGTTGATGTTGCTTCATTTGTAGTGAAATCTCAGCAGCGGCCGGCGGTTTGCGTCGTGGGCGTCCATACTACCTAGGTAGGTATTTCACCGGCTTGGCGTAACACATATCGCGATTTTCTGCACGCTCCCGTTGGTTGGCTTGGTCTGCTTACAGCATAGCTGTGCATTTTCTGAAGGCTGTTAGAATTTTTAAAACATGCTTGAATTTCGATGTACAGATGACCCAAGCATGATAGGTCTATGGAAGTCCAGATCCTTAGAAAGATCGTTCCAGCTCTGCGATACTCTTCGTTTCAGATATCCTTCTTACGCACGAATCTGAACAATAATATGCGAAAAGGCGATGTGTTGTCCTTGTCTATAAGCAACTCTAGATCCTAAAGTGCATTTAGCTAAAAGCCAATATGATTCGTATGAAAACGCCTTGCATGTTCTCTCCATACAGCTTACCTGTTGTGTAATATGATAGTACAAATGTACTTGATAGTATGCAGTGTACGTGACAGAGCGTACAGCAGAGCAAATTGACAGAATGCCGTTGGCTGTGCGATCCCAACCTCACGTACGAGAGTTCTAGGTCGCGTATCTATCCACGCATACTCTCCAGAAATTAGAGCTTAAATTCCATACATTTCAATGGCCCAGAAATAGAGGCGTAGAATAGCTTATGGAGCTACCTCCTATCCAATGAGCATACCGAATAACCAAGCCGTTCTAATTCTGCGGCGACGGCCAAGTGTCGATCTCTTCGATTTTATGCAGATATTACGGTAAATTCGGATGCTTCCATAGCCCCCAAGCCTAGCTCGAGTTCTAATCAATGCATAGATTGCAGCTTGCCGGAAGACTTACGGTTGAAGTTGTGATAAGAGAGGTAAGGCAGATGGACATTCCCGCTTTTTGTCTAGATTCGTAGTCTACTTACTAGACCCTGATATCTGTTAACACACGTGTTAATGCGATACTCGTTGTTGGTCCGAGAGTTCCGAGTACAATAGATCGCTGCCGACAGCGGCTTAGTCTCCAATGACTTTAACTAGAGGCCGAAGCGTAGTAGCCGTGAAGTTTAGATGGAATGACAACCAGCGAATCACGAGGGCAGCGGCCGTAATCTCTTTTAGGAGCTACATATCGCAGTGCTTCAAGGGTGGCACTATAGGCCCAAGGGTGGGAGACCTCGACGCGAATGGAAAACGTACTCTAGTATGTAATCATCAATCCACCCCACGGTAGCAAATGAAGCACCTCTTAGTCCACCGCTCCCGGGTTTAATATCAGAAAGGTCTGAAGTTAGTTGGTTTAGAGAGGGCACTGAGAAGTCGTCTGCAGAGGCTTGAATTCCCCAGCACTAGACCTGGTCGGTATGAATAAACTGGTTGTAAGACGTGCATGCATGTAAGATGTTCTGGAAGAAATCTCGGATGTTCGATAGATGATGACGATGGGGGACATTTTGCCGACGTCTTCGATTCGGTTTGCAGAACATATACATAGAGCAACTCGGTACCACTAAAGATCTCTAGAGCTCGAGGGACATAGGTATAAGGATTTCGCTTAGTGATAGAAACGTAGCGTATCGACAACTTTGCGACCCTCCGGACCTGCTAACCCTTGGCGTGCCTATCGGTGCTGGTTTATCACCATGTAAGTCTTAGATTGATCCAGTACCGTGTTGCGGTGGCGGTGGGAAGGCGGGGTTAAAGCTAGAGCGTACATACATTATTATGTACGTAGTAATAGGTAGCACTTGGCATGGGCCCCCGTTGGAGTTCACCCACGATCCTTCAACTAATGGATATTAGATAGGTATAAGCCCGGGTCTTGGCTCGACTTATAAGATGAACTGTGTGAAGAAAGACCCCAAGTAGATATATCCGCTCTTTATTACCAATTCCAACCTACTATTGCCAGCTGTTGGGCGATCGTAGAGGTACTGTTCTTCGAAGAAAGCATATAGACATGATTTCATCTCACACCGTCTTTTCAGCCCTAAGGTTTCCGGGAGTATTAATCGAATCCTCTTAAGGACGAGGCAAAAATACCCATGGATCCTACGTGGCCTGCCCCTCGTAGGTCCGTCTATGGTCAGAAATAACGGCGCTACACCTACATCTTCTGAGTTAGTTTCTTCTGAGTTAGTTTCTTCTGAGTTAGTTTCTTAATAAAGCATTACTTACCTAACCTAGGTAGTTATTCGACGTATCCATCTCGCGCCATCATGAGGCTCACCTGAGCACCAATTGTAATAATATTCCCTGAAAAGCTTGTCACGCAGAGCATGATGCGGATTGGTGGGTGGACTGGTCTAGTTCGGCGTCGTTAGGGACGACGTGATGATGATACATACTTTCTATCCTCGCTTGTGATGCTGTGTTACGATGGCTTTTCTCTGTGCTGGTCTACCTTGTGCCACCAACACATATCCCGACCCACGCGCATGAAGTTTACGCTAGTTAGGTTCATGAACCGACAGTATAACACGTATACACGGTATGTATGCATAGGTAGGTAGGTAGGCCGTGTATCACCCATTGTTTAGGTATAATTGCCACCAAATGACGTTTCCCTGCTACTACGGCTCGCTTGCTTGTTTTGCTTTGCATCTGCTTTGCGTTTTCCGGGCCGGCTGGCAATTCTGTAACGCTTCAGCCGCTGGAGAGATTTCCTTTTTGGCGCCGGAGAATCCTGATTCCTGGGCTGACCGGGAAAGCTAGTCTAATATTGTCCATGCTGTCTGGCCGGTTTTCATCGTCAAAAATTAATCAAATGACCCCAACTGAAAGACCAGCGACGAATGAGGATTAGAAGATGCACTAGGTACTCAGCTCCCATGCCCCGATACCGTGTGAAGTTGACGATATCGCGCAACGATCGTGCTTCGCGATCCTCCGGTACCCACGAGAGAAGGTACGTAGCGGTCTTGGCCGTCGGTATACCTTACCCACCAGAGCATGGTGCTGCATCCATCGTAAGCACCAGTCTGGGGTAAGGAAAGATCTGGGTAAAAGTTCTCGGGTCTGATAGCGTGAAGGATTCCACTTCAACATACGGTTATACCAGGTAAATAAACTGCAGTACAGCTGCAGTACCTAGAAGTGATATGTCAAAAATTGTAGGCTGATGGATAGGTAGGCTGATGGACCATATAGACGAACGACTATCAGGTTAGCCAATAATTAGTCCAAGTTTTTCACGCCTTGGTTATTAATCCATCTTCCATCTTAGGGAAATATAGAACCATTACACATGATGACCAGCCACCAACCAGCCAGATAAGCCACAAATGCAACATAGAACTTTTGGCCGAGAAGTTCTGACTGGTTCATGTATAGTGCATTATCTATGCATCTGTGTAAGTAAATTGACTGTAGGTATTTAACATGAATTATAAGGCTATAAGGTGTGGTTTGTGCATAGACAAACACGGGAGGGTGCTTTCTTCTAGCATTAGAAGGCAGAAGTTAGCGATATACACCGTAGACATTATTAGGTACCGCTGTGCTACTCGGTACCTAACCGTTTTACCTATGTGTTGATCTCTTGTGATCGCTAACCGACGTCAAGCCCAACTAGCTCGAAGCATAGACGCACAGACCTTGCGCAAGCTGCTTAGGTACCTAAGTACCTAAATTACCTCTATGGTATGTACCTACCTACCTAAGGTAATACCTACCTAGGTAGAGTATCCTAATTTATAGGGGATTTTTTCTACATAGGGTAACACTCTCAGGGGTCTGCCGTACTCCTGCACGTATAAGTCGTGGACTTTGTTTTCTTACATACTTACATATTGCAGATAGATTGGATAGGTCATCGATTACATATATTAGACATATATTATACATAGGTAGAAGCTTCGTAGGGAGTTTCTAGGGAACTTAGGTACGTACAGAGTAAAAGTGTACATACAAAAGATAATGTACAATCCTTCTAAAGTCTTTACACGTAGACATAGATGTAGGTGTATCGGGAGTGGGGTACGGCCCAGGTGCACTTTAGTATATTTTTGAGAGGTAAACGGGAAGTTCCCGTTGAAACATTGAACCTTAAATGTATCTTCATACCTGCATTCCATTTACATATCCAAGTATATATGTATATATGGGTGAACGTACCTAGTTGAGGTAATGTTATACCAGCATTGAATGTAATAACTCAAGTTACAAAATTCACCTAAAACTATTTCGGACATCGGCTAGAAAAGCGATAGAATCGCCCAGATTCTACAAGGGGTAAATACCTAGGTAGATATCTTTATTTCTTACATACCTAGGTTACACATATAACGAAGTACCTAATGTATATGTATATACGAATGGTAAATAGGTAGACATATACCTATATATACATTGCGCAACTACCTAACGTAAATTGTACCTAAAGGTTCTAAATGTATACATACACCCTACTTGTATACAAGCAAGTATATAGCTTGTAGCTTCCCTACGCCTAGGGTACCTCTCACTTACCACATAAGCAACCCCATGTTGCAGGGGGGTCGGTACCACTACCGCTGGATGTGTAACCCCGACTTTGATGGACTTGATTGATCGCTTCTCGGTGCTCATCTTCCTTTTAGACAAAAACCCGCCCGTTACCAACTCTCTGGATCCCCTCTCGTCTTCTCTTACTTCCTTCTTTTTCCTCCTTCTCCCTCTTCCTCTTCATCTTCCTCCTATCTCTTGCTCTCTCTTTCCTGCCTCCTTCTTTTTTATCACTCGTTTCTCTTTTATCTGTCGCTGCTGGTTACAGCCCGAAGAGAAGCCCTAATAATTCCTTGCACGAGAGCAGCCAGGCGGATCCAGACGGAACTAAGATTAATCTATGAGCTCTGAGCTACTTGCAGCTAGGACGCCCACCCCGAACTTCAAAGACCATCCACCCGGTTACGTACTTGGAGCTTTCATGACCCGAAGCTCCCAAGCTTGGGGTCAAGCTCTGGCTCGTCAAGCCCAGGCACAGGCATGTTCCAGCCTCAACCCACACCATATTCCTCGTACGCTTCCTATGGAATCCACATAGCCAACGCAGAAGTTCCCGAATACGCCTTCCAGCCCACTCCGTTGGGACAATTCGGGGCGGCGCAAGCTGGCGGTGCTGGCGCAGTTGCAGGTGGTAGACCAGCAGCCGTCGACTTCTTCGCCTCTCCCATCTATCACAATCATAACCATAATCCTCTAATACCGCCTCACGCAAGTAATTCAGGCCATATTCCTTACAGCACCAACAATACCAATACAAACAACCCGGCGATACCCCACAATCGTCATCAAAATCATCGCAACATCAAGATGGAACCACCACATCCAACCGACCTTGCTCAGCAAGAAACTGCAGCTCGCGAATTCGAGCCTCAGCTAGTGGTAAGTACAGTTTTTATTGCGATACTCTTCTGTTTTCGTCCATCTACCCTATCTACACGTAAATAGCTATATATTTAGCTCATATCGCCATCATACCTCTCGCTTTGCACATTGCCCCTCCTCGTCTCCATCGGAAGCATCAAAACGCTCACATTTCAACGGCATACAGAGTCCTTTAGTCGGCGAGAGACGACCAAGCACGATAATCACGGAGGAGTATGCGAAAGCAGATCCTATATATGTCGCCAAAACTATGGTTAGTCAAACCCGAGCTCCAGCAGCACAATCGGACACTTTCAATTGACTCGTTGTGACATCGTAGGCATTACCCCAGACCTACTCCCACTATCGCCCTGTCCAAGGTGACGGTAATTGTGGTTGGCGAGGTGAGTTCTGACATATTTCCTACTTAATATATCTCGAGGACCCTCCTGCGTCACGTACGCATACCCCGCAGTTCATGCGTAGGTAGCCAAGTCAATTTAGGATCTGGGTCCTATCTAGAATATTCTTCGATCGATCGATGATCTGCTTCTGTGAAGATAAGGCAACTTAGTGGGGACAATATTCAGCTTTTTCATCACCTCACCTAGTTTTCAGACCTATAGTATCCTAAGTTGACTCTTTGTTATATTGTTGTAGCGATCGCCTTCGGTTATTTCGAGACGTTGGTACATTGCGGCGATATAAATCAAGCTCAAGGCGAGTTGGCTCGGTTAACAAGCTTGAACAAATTCATCGAGACCGTTGGGGGACATAGTGTCTGGCTGTTCGAGGATATGGTTGCCGTAACATTTGACTTATTCAATGAGATCATCGGAGCGATGTCTAATGGCCAGGATGCTATGCTAGCCGTGATGGATACGTTCAACAATCCTGAGAAGTCGCAATCCATCGTCTACCATCAGCGCTTGCTCGCATCGTCATGGTTGAAGGGTCGTTATGCCCATTACGAGCCCTGGATAACGGGTGGCGCCGAGAGCTACGTTCAAGATACCATCCTACCTATTGACCGGGAGATCGACCACGTAGGTGTTGTGCTACTTCACGACGTGCTACTCAAACCAGCGAATATCGTGCTCGAAATTGTCTACTTAGACCGGAGCAACGGCATGGAAGCCAATATTCATCGGATGCCCGAAGAAGCTAACGGTCAGGACCAGACTGCATTAGGGCCAATAATTTACCTGTTGTACCGTCCAGGTCATTACGATATTTTATATCGCGACTCTATTGTCCAGCCTTCACCCATGCCGCCCGCACTAACTACACTGTCGATCAATCGGGCAACGCCCTTCACGCATCAAGAGATTGAAAGCACCGACATGCCACTTCAAGACTTCCCGGTTGACATGAGTACATTAGCTATGATACCCGGTTTTGGTGTTGCCGACATATCCCCCTTGGGGTCTCCGGCCGCACCGTCTCCTATGTCAGATCCTTATGCCCCTTCTCCGCAATCGCCATGGATGCCGCAGCCGTTTCCAGATGGCCTAGCTACCGGGCCTCCACCTCCACAACCGAGTCCCCCGCAGCAACAGCCAGCAACCCCCATGACGTTGCACCCTCTGCGCTTCAGCAAATACAACTTCCCTGACCTAGTTGAAACCAACACGTTTCACGAACCAGCTTTCACGACAAATACCTTTAAAAACAGCCACTTCAATGTGGCTCATTACAATAATATGAATTTCCAGCCTGAGATGTACAGGCCAGAGGCAGACGAAGAGATATCACATGGAAAAGGCAGCGGTCGGAAACGGAGTAGCGAGCATTGCGCGGTCATCAAAAAAGAGAACAGGGGTTAGAGGTTTTTTTCCCCCGGTCCCATGAGCATTCTTCCGTTTGGGAGGCGGTGACACTTCCCGTCTATTACACCCACGGCGTTACTTGGTAATGAAAGACTGCGAGGTACGCGGCCGTTTTGCCGGCCGGTACCATTTATATCACCGACACGAAATAATGAGACGGAGTATCCGGTATCCCTAATACAAGAATTAAGGCCTACGAGTTTGGTATGTAATATGGACCAGAGGGCAAACAGGATAAAATTCCACGTATATCCGCAGCCCCTCGAAATAATCGGCAAAGCCGAACGCAGATGAGTTAATAAAGTTCGAGCAGAAACTAATATGATATTTTAATCCGACGTCTATGATGTGATTTGTGATATTCGTAATGGTGTTTCGCAGTATATCAGTATATAAATGCCTCGTAGATGCAGTCCAATAGCCGTATCGAAGTAGCTGCTGTACCTTGCATCCTAGGACGGAAGCACGAGCCAACGAAGAGCAAGGATTCATTGGTCTTGACCAGCTAGACCCGGCCGCGCACCAAACAATGAACACCTTCGCATCCTCGATCCTAGTAACTCGCTCACTCTTCACTCCCTACATGCCTGACTAAGGCAGCCAATTCTTGGTACAGCAAAGCAAGACCACGACGGTAAGCCACGTCGCCCTCTGATTAGAAGACTGCACTTTGCCGCTCGCTACCCAGCTAAATATATATGCGTACATGCTTTTCTCTTCCCTGTGTGAAAAGGCTGTCCGTCCTGTCCGCTTTCCTGCACAGTACACACCATACCATACATTAGGTATTATCCTAGTTATCCTGTCCCAGCTCGAAACCCTTAGGTATATACTTATCCTTCAATCTTAACTTGGCGCCGACATCGGCCGCGGACCGCTGCATGAGATCCCAGCATCCCTGATGATAGTGTCCGCAGCGCGTGTTCACTGATTGATTCGTTCGTATATACGACTCCTCCGAGACAGGCAGACAAGACAGATGGGTGGATAGATAGGAGCGGACCGTCCGCCGACCGAGCGCTTCTAGCGGATATCCGGTTGCTGGTGCTGGTTAAGTTGGGGGCTTGGTGGTGGGGAAGGTCGCGTATACGTAGGCCTGGCTGCTGGCTGCTAGCTTTTCGGGGCTAGGAGGTTATGAGCAATCGCGATGCATAAATATGTATATGTGTGTGTATGTATGTATGTACGTGTGTATACCCGTACTCCAGTGCGTGTGTAGATCGATCGGGAGGGGCGTGGCCCTGGCGTGGAGACTTTGGGGCTGGGCTGGGCTGGGCTGGCAGAGGCGTGGCCAGCCCTGCTTCGTGGAAGAGTTGTTCCATTGTTCGTGGTATCTGTTCGTACAGATCAAACCCCCACGATGACCCTCAGTACTTCGTTGTCTGGCTCAGTACGCGAACACGTGATTCGTTTGCGTAAGGCTTCGAAGAGAATACGCAAGATGGGCATCGTAGACGTGACGTATATACCATATAGGCAGATAATAAGGGACTCAAGGCGACAACGTGTAGTACGAATCATGATTGCATCACTTGGCCCTCGATAAACCCAGCATCCGTGCCTGGCCCCACCGGTTCGAATTGCAATTCCTTCCCCCACGTCTCCCAGTCCTCTTCCTCCACAGCGGCACCAGGTAGCTCCAGCCTCTCAGCGAACTCAGCAGCCCATGCTGCCGTGATATCCTCAGGCGCAATCTCGTGAGTTGGCAGCAAGTCTAATTGCGCGGCGATACTCGTGACTCCCCTATCCCCTAATCCACACGCTACGATTCGCGCCCACGGGTTCGTCGCCTCGGTCCCGGTAACCGAGACACCGACGTTGACCGCCACGCCGAGACCGGTCACATGCCGCCGAAGGTGAACACCTAGCGCCGAAATCTTTTCCTCGTCTCTCGAAAAGTCATCATCCTTGCGCACCCATACCCCCGGGTTCGAGGTCGTGAACCCGGTAACACCGTACACACGGCGCAGCGTCGCGATAGTAGTCTTTTCTAGCAGACAAGTGTAGTCTCGCACGGAGAAGTGCGCATGCTGCGGGGACCGAAGGTCTATGACGGGCCAGAGCACGGCTTGTCCCGGACCGTGGTACGTAGTCAGCCCGCCACGGGGCGCGTGTAAGACCTCAGGCGCGAAGACGGCAGTAGTGATGGACTTGTGGTCGTCGCGGGGGGGCAATGATACGGAGAGAGGGGCGCGCAGGCGCGCGAGCTCGGAGGCGGATAGCGGCTCGGTCTGCCGCCTGCCGAGAGTGTATGTGGGCGCCGGGGTAAAGGAGATGAGGGTGGGAAACGGAGGCGGGGCATCATCAGGTCGTCGCCGTGGGTCATCTCGCAGGGCCTTCCAGGCCAGTAGTTCTTTCTGCAACCTCGACTGGATGCGGGTCGCCAGGGCATAGGTCGGGTACCTGGGCGGCGTGGTCCGGGGCCACGAGGGAATAGCGATGTGGCGGAGCGGCATTGGATGTCACGCTCTAGGAGGGGGGAAGAAGAAGGGAAAGGGGGAGATAAGAGAAAGGGATATCTTTTAACCTAGGGCTTGCTTTCTCCGGCAAGGTGCAAAAACCACCTACACTTGACGATACCTAGATTATTAATAACAGAAAGCGGAGCAATGCCCAGGCCGGAAATAGTGTATGTATTGGAAGAGAGAGAATGAATTGAGGTTGTTCCCATGTAAATCTTACTGTGTTAGGTAAGGCATACGTACCCGGCTCAACTAAACTTAACCCTGTTCCTAGCGCCGTGCAGGCTTAGCAGGCTGTTTACCTAGGTAGGCTGCTAGGCTACATATGTAGGTAGGTACCTAATGTACCTTAGGGAAAGAGCAGGAAAGTTCAAGGTGAAGATAGCTTAAGCTCAGACCACCTTTTGTCGGTGACGAGAGAGCTACGATGGATCCATGGCACGGGACGATCTAGCAGGGGGTTTCTTAAAGCCTTGATCCCTGTTTCCTATCGTTTTGTGAGCTGTCATTTCTTGGCGATTTAAAAGCATTGTGCTAACCTACTAGTGTAAACTTGTTTTGTTAGTGTACTTACTGTCTTTTGTCATCCTGGATTAGTTTATGTACCTACCTCATAACATACCGTAGGTAGGTATCTAGGCACATGTACGTAATTACGTAGGTAGTTAGGTACTTTTCTTACAATTCTTCGGTCTCGCGCTCGAATTTATTTATTGCTGACAACGTCTCGAACTCGACTCGTTCATCAAAGCCTAATCCAATCCAGTCTAGTTCCAGTCTAGTCCACCATGAAATACCACCAACTACGCCACTTTCAAACAGCTTCTATTCTTATGATTCTCTTTTGATACATGGTAGAAATCACGTCTCTCCTTTACTGATACTTGAGAGATACATGTAAGCACTTGCGCGTTGCAACATTGTGTTGCCTCGCTCACCGCATAATAGATCGTGCACATGATCATCGATGGCTACCTCCTTTTCTCTGCTCACATCAGCCGCAAGATACATATCTGTTATATCCAAATTACCCTAAAGTCTAGCCTCCCAGGGGGGTATACGTTCCCGCTGGTGCCCGGTACTTCAGTGGTACAAACCTGTCAAGAGCCGAACGTTATGGCACTTCATTGCCAAATACGGAATTCGCTTATTGGGCGCCTCGGGTTGATTGGTAGCTGAGTGTGAAAGATCTGCTCCGGGGCGGGACAGGGAGTGTGTTTAATTCACTGTCGGTCCATCACTTCGTATCGCAAGTATCGTATGTATCGTATGTATCGTACTTATCTCCTATGTATATGCGCAGCAGACTAGTAATCTCGTGCGGCTCCGTTCGGACCAGACACTACCGAACCATGGATGAGGGAGAAGAGGAGCCGAGACTACGTGTAATGGTGTATACCTGTCCAACTACATATTTGTCCAACAATGGCATATGTACACTAAGTGAGCAGGCCCAACATCAAGTTTATGCATTCTAACATTGAACGGCCGGGATGAGGAAGGGGTGTACGCCCTATGCCCACCCACGCGACGGCCCGGCGTAGGCTCTCTTTACAAATCAATCCCATGTAAGGCGGAAAAGATCTTCAGCCAAGATTGCCGTCCATCCTCGGCCCCTAGTTGGGCATTTCAACTCCAGCACTACGGAGAGGACTCCGTATCCATCGTATCCAACGCCTACCCAAAGGATCTCGAGAAAACAAGGAAACGTACCTTGCCAATCCCGCCTTCAGGGCTGATTACCCTGACGCCTCCATGTTGATATTTGTTGGAGTGCTTTAGCTGTGCTCGAAAAACGCTCTCTCAATGCACATCCCGTCGATCCTCTGCCTTCCTGTCAAATGTTACATGGACACGAAAGTTTGTGCCTGAAAAAAAGAGCAAGTAGAACAATTGCAATAATATGCGGTCATAGCATAGTCAGCTGGTTTCTGATATGGAGCATCGTTTTATGTCAGCTTCTCCAAGGAGCTTTTCGGCGAATTTGACCTATTACCATGTCACAAGACCTCGGCACAAGCACGGCAGTCCTTTGCCACCTTATACCCGGACTGAATAGGACAACAACTGGCTAATTTCTACACTCCAACAAATGCCGAGAATCATCAATTGCAGAATGTAGTCACAATGTTTCATCCATCTCCAAAGGGCTTGATAATGTTTGGTGATAGTTTTAAGACCTCTTTTCTAGTTAGTTTGAAATGACGCCACCTATCAGCTAGACTCTCTTTCGATGTCATCTAAACCTCCAATTACGAACTTTTATTTTCAATTATACAAACAAGACAGCAATGATATCTTAAACAGTGCTTAGAAGTGGCCTGGTTTCCGGCTAACTCTCGCTTGGTTCTTAAATATAACTTACTTTTCTCATACCTCAGCGAGCGTTTATATACCAGGCATCGAATTGCACAGATTAAGAAGCATGGGCCTAGCTTATAGCATACTAATGATTATTTTAATCCGTGTCTCATCTCAGAATAAGGGGGAGTGATGTCCAAGTCCTGCTATGTCGCGACTATCCTGAGACTTATCAAGTACTGGCACCATAGCGACTAGTGGGATTCTCGATGAGACGTCTAGAACAAAGAATACTCTTAGTATTACATAGCTGGTTCCCTATTTTGGATATAAAGTTTTCAAGGGGGTAACAGAGTTGTTTCCGTGTCTTCGATATTCGTTTCGTAATCGCCACGTCCAGTCTAGATTAATTTATATATTGGAGACAGACACGCCTAGGTACAACGGTAATTGACTATATGACCATATTGCGATACACTGAAATAGACATCTACTGCTGGAGGTGCTAGGTACGATAGTTATGCATGAGGTGTTGCCCGTTCTAAAAAAGACCAGAAGATATAGCGGCTGGTATATCATCCTTGCAGAAGTGCTTATATTATTTTTAGTACCATCTGTACCTGCGATTTCATCCGCATAGCAAATTAGCCCATCTAACTACCAAGGCGTAAATTGAGTAGTATATCATCATGTAGCGTAGAAATAATACGATACCGTGTATCCTTCTTATGACGCATAAGCATATCGCTACCTCGTCCTTATCATATTCCAGAATATTTTGCCCCTTATAACATAATATCCAGCCAGATATTTCAGTCACTAACTCGATCAGCAAGGCGTGGTTTTCTTGACGAGACATAGAATTCGTTAGAATCTATAAAATTAAACACAAAGTAGATACATAAATAACAGTAAGATATACATAGATAGACCATTGTCCAAGCTAGTTACCCTTAAATCAACGTTCGAAGGACAAGATATTTCCTTTTGCCTATACAGCCACTTCCCAAGTTCTTTAAACTCTTATTTAAGATTTGTTGGTTTATGGGTTGTATGAGTTTTTTTTATAGCAATAGTACCAGTGGTAGGAGTAGGAGTAGTAGTGCTAGCTGTGGCGGTTGTTTGGTGTAGTGGTGGTGTAGAATTATTCTTGGCCAAACGTAAATATCCCATGATATAATGTGATTCGTCTCGCACTTCTTATCCAGACCGTATCCTCCATAATGGTTGTTATTACCCCCCGGCGCCCCTGCGCGCGCGTCAACATAAGGCATAAGGTGGTTTTCATCCAAATATAGCCTTGAGCGAAGCTTTCATAAGGGATCTCGTGGCCTCTGTCGTAGTTTTCCATCGAGCCATTAAACAGTGATGGGTGTTTCCTTCATCTATCTCTCTTCATATTTTCGATCCAATAGGGCAGGCGATGACAATGGTATCTGACGAAAAGTATATCAACTGTACCCCGCGTAACAGCTAGCAGCCGAGTAGTGATACAATAGAGCATGGAGCTCGTCAGACAATATACATATACCACTCAAACCTGTTGACAGGCGCTATCTCAACCGACATTAGAGATTCGTCGTAATTATCAGAACCATCAAAGCTCAGCTCATCATCGGAAAGATAGCCTGATCTTCGCAGCGTTGATCCTTGGATCAGAAAAGTATGTTCATCCGATTCGTCGGGTTGTTGTGCTTGGGCGTAGCATTTTTGTACATAAAGAATAAACATGCCAGAGGCGACCCCAACGACCACCCAAGCTAGAAGCAATAGATAGAAAATAAAAAGTGGAATAGACATGTTTACTTCTTCAGTGGCATGTAGTATCGTCTCTCCAACATGCTCAGGGGGGGAGTGCTAAGAAATGGTCGATTCGACTCCAGAAATAAATGATTACAGCGCATGGCCTCCTTGACACGGGCACTCTACAGTTTACCTTGAAGATAAATTTCTATAATCTATCCCTAGGGTTTCGCGGCGCAATATTTGATTATCTTGGTTTACGGTTTGTGATTCTTCAAAGCTCCCAAAGTCTAATTGTAGCGAGCCCAAATTATTTATAAACGGATAGACTTTAAACCCCATCTATTCCATTAGTTGTCTATAGAGACGATTGTATGTGAAAGAATATTCCTGGAACAATTCTATTATTATATTTGGATACGATAGAACATAAGAGTATAAAGAAGGAAACTCCATAGACACCAATCAGGTACCTAAGAAGCCATTGTGCTAACATGAGATATGGATAAAGGAGGCTAGTGTAGCGAAATCAAAGCCAGTCTTGGTTTGCAATCTTACGACGTATCTATAGATGTCGCACGCCCCGGGCTGGCGTAAAATTTAGTTCCTGTGCTCATCTCAATAGCCTTAAGATAAGTTACATACCAATTTTTTAAAACAGCCTAAGTAATGTGGTGAGTTGATCGGCTAATCTTTATTCTGAGTCTGTTACGACTGCCTTTTATAGCGTTAAATGCGTACAAAACTACAAATAATAAGTATTAACAAGGGTCAGAAAGAGCGCGCTTAACATATCTTAGAATTTATTTGGCTTACACATATAGCCTCGAATGAGAAGGAAAGGAATGGAAAGCTCGCAAGACTCGGAAATATTATATCTTATCAATCCCATCAAAATATTTAGTTAAATAGGTATTTATAAACAACCATCTAGGTTAAGTAGTTATACGAACTTCTCAGTTTCGAAAACCCTCATTATCAACAATGATGTTATGGTTCGTACGGGGTAGGTATTGGTGGCCGTGATATACAAGTTGTGGCTGGGACTCAAGCCTTATCATAGTGATAAAGTCATCATAGCATACTAATATCACCTCTATCTCAGGTGCTAATAATATCTCGTAGGGATAATAATAGTACCTAGGTAGTAATTGATTAGATGTAACAGTAAATTCGAATCTACCTACCCCTAAAAAGGTATATGAATGGGCCCAATCATCTAGCCTTTCAATATAAATTCCGACTCTAAAGAAAATGGACATTCCACGTATAGAGGACCCATGAGAATATATTAAGCGTCGTCAGCAAAGAGGCATTAATATAAAGCAAAAGACCACTTCAAGTCGCGGAGAGCGTAGATAATTAACTGACGGACTTCGGCATTAACCCCTGTTTTGGAGCCTTCACTCATGTCTTAACCAATAGAAGCTCGATGCGTAGTTGTAGGTACTTACATAAGCACCACAGTGATTTCAATGTTGTCAAGAAAAAAAAAATACAAAGTAGGATACCGGTGTTCTAGACTCGGATGTCGGATACCTCGGAGGACACGCCGCAAGCGTAGCACCACGTTGCCGTTGTCGCTATCTCTAAGCCTCACGAGAATGACGACGACTTGGCATCATGGTGATTATCAGGGCTATGCTATCACGATGATCCAACTTCGTCTGTTTTTGGTTTCTTTGAATGGGCTGTATAGATGACGTATGAGTAGAGCGGGTTTTTGTTTAGCCAGGCCTGACCTGTAATATGTAATACATACCTTAATAAAGGAAGTGCGTGCTAATTTCAACGAAATGGGCAATCATAAGGTCGAAGGATCTTGCCGGGAGGAGAGACTTGGATGTAGCTTCTTTGGTACTATTATCAGGCTATTCGGCAGAGCTAGACTAATTTAGGTAAGGAGCTCTTCCAATAGCTTCGTCAGTGTCGTCATATTACCCCACTAGGAGTTGGCTCGTGCCCGCCCTTTGACGAACCTCTAACGACTTTTCTTTCGATGATCAACACACTCTCAATCGGAAGAGACCTTCAACCATTTTATTATTATTATTGTTTTCGTTTCCGCCTCCGTCTCCATCCCCTTTCTCGTTCGTGGTAACAACCTTGCGAAAATCGTACTCGATCTTACGATTATATTACTCGTATACCTTTAATACTAATCCCTATCTGGGTTGTACAATTCGATACCTATCCCCTTAAACCATCTGCCCGACCGCCTTTGATCTCAAACCCTCTTCCGGATTCGTATCTAAGACAACCTAATCTAAGAAATTGTGTCTTGGCTCTATTTTCTCCTGGAAACGAAACAGTGTTTTAACAAGTGTTAAAAAAAATCAGGTACGTGCTGCACACAGTTTTAGTTTTACCTACCCCTTACCCTGCCAGCTGTCCTGCTTTAGGTACCTGTTTGCTCGTCTCCGCCAAACGTAAATTTCAATGTTATTATTAAAAAAAAAAAAAATTTTTTAAAGTTCGCAACCTGAAATCTAACATTTTCAACCCTCAGCTCCTTTTCAATCATCTTTCTCGATATCACAAGTAACCTCTATACACTTCAATCAGCTCTGGCCGGTCAATAGCGTTCAAGATGGCGCGTTCAAGTAAGTCTCACCGCAATCACTTTCTAGCTTTGCAACACCGCTAATAGCTCCCCAGACGCATATCTCGCGCCTCTCTCCCTCATCTTCCTCGCCGGCTCCCTAGTGATGTTGTTCTTCGTGATCCTATCAGCCGTCGCTGATACATCGCCCCTAAAACAAACCTACTTCCTGTCAGCCCAGACCGGCGGCATAACAGGCGCCCGCTCCGTCACCCAGTGGACCTACTTCTATATCTGCGGTGAAGGCAACACCGACTGTAGCGGCGCATGGCCTGCCCCTCCCCTGGGTTGGGCCTGGTCTGCAAACCCGACTAATGCGCCATCTTCTCTGATCGGTACCCATGGTGGCGATACTACGAGCTCCTATTATTTCTACATGTGGCGGTTCGGCTGGGTCTTCTTCTTAATCGCGCTCGTGTTCTCCGTACTTGCCTTCTTTGCAGGCTTCGTGGCATGCTGTGGACGCTTAGGCTCGGCCATCGCGGGACTAGGAGCTCTTGTCGCCTTGTTCTTCCACACCATCGCCGTGTCGCTGATGACAGCTGTCTTCGTTAAGATGCGTAATGCGTTCATTGCGAGCGGCCGTGATGCTAGCCTCGGTCGATGGGCCTTCGGCTTCAGCTGGGGTAGCTGGGCCGCCTTACTGATCGCCACCGTACTCTTCTGTCTGGGTATCCGCGGTAGCAACGGTGAGGGTCACACCGGTCGTAGGTGGGGTCGTCAGAGGAGTGTGCGGAGCCACCGAAGCTACGACATGAATGGCCGACGCGTTAAGGAGGAGTACGCCTAAGAGTTTCAGGGGTTATAGCAAAATACGTATGAAAAATGAATTACATCAAGAAACATACGTGCGAAAAGGGGGAAAGAAAAACAAGAAAAACAAATTGCGCTAGATGAAGTAGTATGAATGGATGGTTGGAGATTTTGACAGCACGCATACCACTTCACGCTTCAAGTTTTACGCGTTTTACACGAAGCTTGGCATAATGGATAATGACGATAATGACCGACCCAAAGTTACATACGAGGTACCGTGAGCAAGGATACGGAGGACTATCAAGGAACAAACCAGCAGACAGAGACATGGATGGATGGATAGATGAATAGTGGAGAATGTAATAATTGAGATACCACAACCATAAGTTGCGCCTATGCTCTATGTATGCTACAGGTACTTATGTGCTTACTCGGTCGTTATGGTAAATGAATTGATTGAGACTATCTAGCCAGTTTGCAGGCTTAAGTTATATCGTGAGGAAATACTTGTGATGTTATTGTGAAGAGGATGACTGCAGGTGATTGAGAGATGATCGTGTTTCATATAGCTAGAGCTTACTGGTACTTGAACGCCGTGTCTACAGTATCACAGATACCTTCCAATTGAACAGTATGTCAACAATCGGACCTCAAATTTCCCTAGAAGAGCGAACTAGAATTGTTGTACGAAGGGTATATACTTGAGAACCTAAGAGAACTACGAACTACGCCGCTATCAAGCCAATGACTACCTCCTACATACCCGTATTTAGTAGATTGATCGAGGGATAAGAACCCCCCCCCTTTATTCATCTCTATGAATACTGGGATTTCTCTCAGTATTTCGCCGGTATTAATACTAATGTAAAACAAATTAAACCAGCCCATACTCTTAAGAAGTAGATGTACCATACGCTCTACTCAGCCTACAATTACTCCTATACATGTTTATATCATATCACATCACACCTCTGACGCATGTTTCCAACCTCATGTCCTAACAGCAGCATCGTATGTATTCGCTTCTCCAGTCACATTACCATTTCAATTCATCTATAGTATAATCCACTCAACTAAACTCGTGTTCTTGACCTCAAAGTAAGTCTTATTTATCTGCCCCCGGATTACACCTCGGTAGGCAATACTTCCCCTATCGAACAACCTTCATTTCAATCTGCTCTGTCCTGCCTTGCCTCGACCGTCCAAGCATCCCTTCCTCAGCGGCTATTCTTTCCGTATATTTGCCTCTTCCAGTCCCTATAACTCCGCCCGGAATGCGAATTCCCATCTTATCTCTGCAAAAATTATCCACCGCGATGAACAAGAAGTCGAGGAGTAAGGGGAGGAAAAAGCATCTCTCGCAAGACAGAAACAAATGATTGCTTGAAATATCCCGCTCTCTTTATTTCTTTCCCTTCGCGTGATGCCAATATTAAGATCAGAAGAATTTAAAGAAATAGTAACAAAAAGTGTACAATGTGTTGCATAGAACGAAGAGCCAGCCCTCTCTGAATCTCTCGATTTTCCTCGGCCGCTTTTATAATATCACACGGATCCCTCGCGTATGCGTCGCGTCATTCATTCCAAGTTGCCCGGATTTAAATAACAGCCTATCCTTTCCATATCCCGAATACGTATACAGGGGCTCCTCGCTTCGTCCAAAATGCCGTTTCGATGATCGAAAACCCCTAAGAGACCCTTTTGCGGAAGGAGAACAAGACGCGAGATGATAAAATGTTGAGACAGCATTTCCGCCCCTGACTGTGCTATGTGTGTTGAACCAAGTTTGTACGCCGAATAATGCTATGTTCTCGAAGTAATCATGAGGGAAGATCGCGGAGGGCCTGCTCCACCATATCGCGAGAAAATTCTACCCTTCGCTGTTTGTGATCTAATGGGAATTGCCTTCGCGAAGTACCATGCCATTTCTATTTCCCAATTTGTGGACTGGTTAACGGGCTCACGGCATCAAGAGGGGCGTGGTGGAGCGCTGGTTGCCCTTCTGCCTCGCCATACTGTCCACTTTCCTTCTTTTCCAATACTCCATTAACCCATGCGGCGACTTCCGCGTCATCGGTGCTTGAATGGCTGAGGTCCAATTTCTCAGCCGCGCCGGCAACCGCTTCGGCGCTAACATCATTCTCTTCTACCTCCTCATCTTCTTCTGCGATGGTCTCCGGCTTCGTCAAGTCTTCAATCCACTCGGAAGCTAGTAGTGCCTGATATGTCGGCCTAAGCTTAGGCACCTTGTTGAGACAGCCGTGAACGAATATTCGCGCAGCTTCAGAATATCGATCCGGTAAATCGGGAGGATCTCCTTCGACGATTGCCTACGGAACAACGTTAGGGGTTATCTAAATTTTGCAGACTCGAGCTTGATTATTTACTTACACTGAGCTGGCTGAATATTGTTGAGGATACTTCTGGAGGATAGGGGTATTTCCCCATACCACATTCGATGATTGTCAGGCCTAAACTCCATATATCGCTTTGTACGCTATATGTGCCATCTCCCGCACCGGCATGCATAAATGCTCCGCCAGAGATTCGCTCGGGTGCCATGTAACTTTGACATCCGATGTTGGTTTTGGCGATGCTTGCCACCAGATTACCACTTACACCAAAATCGCAGATTTTTACTTGCCCTCGGGTGTTTATGAGGATATTCGTGGGCTTGACGTCGCGGTGGATGATGTTGTGCTTATCCTTCAGCTCCTTGAGGCCCATTACAGTGCAGTACGTAATTTTACGAAGCACATTTTCCGGAATTCCTCCCGAGTAGAGTTTGTCGATAGAACCTCCATCCATATATTCGAGACACATATACACTGCGCTTTCTTGGAAGAAAGCTCCGAAAAATTCGATAATGTATGGGGATGCGCATTCGTGCAAGATTACCAATTCCTTCAATATGGTTGTCAACTTTGCCTCGTCCAATTCTAGGCGAATCTCCTTCATAGCCATGACCATACCGGTAGTAGACCCAACTTTAGTCTCGGCGTCTACCTTGTCTTGCGTGCCCGTAGGAACACCTGGCAAGGAAGCAGTTTTGAATCCAGAGAGGCCAGGACCGAAGCGCGGAACCCTCGGTTTCGTATGCCTCACCTTGTAAACTGTGCCATAATTACCTTTCCCTAGCTCATCGAGCTTCTCTACTTCGTCGAGCGATATTCTAAACACGGATCCGTCCGAGAAGTTGACTCCCTTGTTAGTAATAATCGCTTTACCCTTAAATGTTAGGTATCCTTTTTCAGAGTCGATATACTCCTCGAATTGCTTCATTTGTGACATGTGGGCATTCCCGTTTTGAATGGGCATCGTTTGGGGGCCGGTATTGACACCGCCGGATACGGGTGAAGCAGGCGGAGCTCCGCCCATATCCCCAAGCTTAAAACCAAACCGCCTCTTGCCTGCTAAACCACCACCTGCCGAGGGTACCGAAGGGGCTGATTTTGGAAACGAGGGCGCGCCGGGTCTCTGTAAACTTCCAGACATTTGAAGGCGCCCAGGTAGGCCGGCTATTGTTGGACCGCCTGGGGAAGGCCCGCTAGGTGGTGTGGCCTGCTGCGAATTTAGAGGAGAACTACCCTGGCGCGACAGGTGGAAAGCTCGCATTTTTGCGTTAAGGTCTTCAGGTAGGCGTCCACTCGACATATGCGTAGCAGCACCGGGGCGCCTTGCATTGGACAAAACGCCTAGGTGAGTAGAGGAAGCAGACATTGGATGGGCCGGGTTTTGGGGATCGGAAACGGAGCGCAACGACGGCATTCTCTTAGGTACCTCGGGGTTAATTTCGTTGGGAGTCTCGAGAGGTGTACTTGCTTCTGAAGAGTTAATAGAGCTAGGTGAACCGGGGCTGCCCATGCCATCCCTATCGATCAGCTCATCAGGCGTCGCGGGCACCGAATCCGGATCGTCGTGTACGTCGGCCATGATAAAGAGAGGTCTTAGGGTAAAGGAAACAAGATATCTAGTAGTGCGCCTATACTATCATCACCGAGTAGTAACTCTTGATAATGTTTTATTTATTGTTGGTACTAAAGTAGAAGTCGGTATGGTGGGATTAGTTTGCTGGTTGGCGGGGAATAGCGCAAATCGGCGTTTAATAAAAAAATAATAATAAAAAGATGACGATGGGGCAGCTCGGCGACCGAAAACGTAGGTCAGGTTGGGCGTCTAAAAGATCGAGGAAAAAATTTCTACATAAATGGCAAAGGCGCAACACCGATTCGTCGGCACAAGGGTCTTGAGTCGTTCTATAATATAGTTATTTTTCATTAGCGGTCTGTAGTCTTGTCCACGGAATCGGAGCCCATGCCGAGCTCTTCGGGTAGACATGGTAAGTAAGGTAAGGCAATGAAGGTGGGAGGGTAGTGAGTAATTGGGTTCCATATCGGACAGCCACTCTTCGTCTGACAACCCGAAGCAAAGCAGAATCATTAGGGCTGCACGAACCTAGTCAAATCCGAGACACTAGCTTAAGCTGCCCAATTGTGAGGTTCATGAGCTGTTAAACTCTTGGTTGTATGTAGCAGCGGCTAATCTTTCCGTATGAGTACCCTAAGGGTCTTGGGGGAAAGAAAAGAGTAAGAGTAAATATGAGAGTGAGAGTGAGAGTGAGAGTGATAGAGAGAGAGAGAGGGTGTAGATAGTATGGAGTGGTGATAACTACTAGCATGCAAGAGATAGTAGTGAGAAGGATGTATATAAGAGATGTATGTGTATGTGTGTGTATGTGGGATAATTAGTTTTTTTGCTAAGAACGAACGTACGAAATATGAAGCGGCCGAGGCTTGTTGACAAAGAGGTTTGTGGGATTGTGGGATTGTGGAACCTTTTAGACGTGTCTTCTCTTCCTTGGACCCTCAAAACCAAGACCTTGGATACGATGGGGTTTGGGGATTTGGTAATCGACCTTGTTCCTTGTTAGATGCTTTAAATTTTTGTTCGTCTTTTTTTAGGTTTTTTAGGGTTTTTAGGTTTTTTAGGTTTTTTTTAGTTGGATAGTTGGATAGTTGGATAGTTGGAGAGGGATGATTTAATGAATGATGGAGACAGTAGTAATGGCCTATAGATTTTTAGTGGTTAGCTTGTGAAGGTTGCAAAATGTTGCCCCGCGTTTCTAGTTTCAGAAATGCTGGTTAACCTGCTATAGACTTTCACGTGGCCATAGCTTACAGCTTCTTTAACTGATTTATCCAATTAAACAACTCCGATAGGATTAAATAATAAGTACGAAACAATGATAAAAGATGATGGCCTATGTATTCTAGCCGCAAATCATCAGAGATGGAATTCTCATGAACTCGATCCATTTACTTCCTTTCCCCTTTAACCTACATCCTAAATATTAATTATTATTAATATAACCGCCGTCATTAATTTAAACGACAACGTACACCCGCATGCTATGAGATTATGGCATGATGCTTAAACGATGCTAGCGACAAGAAGGAAAGAAGAAATCGTTGACGTCATATATACGGGGCGGACTGAAGAAGCGCGAGGCTCAAATAAGATAAACTACGGGTTGGACTGCGGTTGGAAAATATCAAAGCATGATTTGGGTGGGGGGAGCATTATAATTATCACGAGCCAATTTGGAGATGCAATCAGGTTACCAGGGAATGATTTGAGTATGCCGCAATACATCACGACCAACTTGTAAACCAATACTAACGCCGATAAAACCCGGTGATCTTTTCCTTTATAATAACTGGTCACCCCGCAAACGATGCTGTTAAAATAGTAATGCAACGTACGTAGATCTCGAATTCCAACGCGATGTACCTAAGCCATTCTGACTAGTGAGGCGCACATTATTGATTGAGCAACGACTGCGGCTTACAATATGTATTAAGGTAGGGGTTATAGAGATAGTCATTAGAAGCTTCTGGCCAAGGAAATCTTAACTGTATATAAGGGACTAATGTACGTTAATACTATGGATAACATCTTAGAAGTACCTAGGTACCTAGGTAGTTAATGGAATTCATAAACTCACCTGATGTTAAAACATTCAATACCTTATGTACATGTAGGTATGTAATCTCCTCAAGCCACATACACTACCTACCTAATACAGGACATACTTAAGTACCTATCTACCTAGGTATTACATACTCCCGTATGCCATTACATAGGTACATGTACTTGCGTAAGGCAGTAAATAGAAACTGATAAGAACGAATCACGTCATCGCCACACTCGTCATCACTTCAACCCAATCACCCAATCACCGCCCCAAATACAACACTGTTTACCTATAGGCAGATATGGCTGATATACCTACGCAAGCAAGCAGGAATTCCGGATCGGAGATGTGGCCATAAGACCGGCATTTCAAGATCTCGGTCCATGATTTACAATGCGGCAACATTTGCGTCGCTCATTGTGCGGTTGATGTGTTGGCTTTACTGGCCTTGCTGCCCGTGGCTATATTCGGGTACTATTCAGCCAGCCTCTCCGACGCTTACAGTCTAAAAAGACGTCATCGTAGTCCAACGACCATATCGTACCATTTGAAACATGTTGCAGGTAGGTAATAAATATTGTTAAGCATTTTAGCTTAACTAAATAAAATAACTTAGTAAGTACATTCCAAGATGGTTAAAATATAAGATCATGCTCTGGGAGGGAAAATGAATTAACCTAGACAACCTCCAATTGTATAAGTTCTGCATGCGCCTCTATCGGTGACTTCATGAATCCTTTGTCACTTCCAGTACCTACTAGAAGACAACTGTTGGGAGCGATTAACAGACGGATGGTTGCATTCCTTCAAGCTAAACACGGCCTGAATAAGCCACCGGCCAAGCACATAGACTCTGGGCGCAATATATATCCAGTAAGCATTCTTGGCTTAGGTACCTAGAGTCGTCATTATTGCGCACTGGCGTATTGGGGCAAAATCATAGGTAAAGCAATACCGTAGACTCCAAAGCTACCTACCTAGAACACTGATAAGTAATAGGCACCGGTAATGGCTTTTAGCTGGCAGACTGGGCATTTGTGATAGTTACGCGCTAATCCCATCATTATAACACGATACATGTATATATCACTGGTAACAAAACAACAGAGAAGTTCTTTATTTCTTTCTCATTGATATGATTAGGTAGATATCCCCGACAACGGTATTAATAAGATATTAATATACACGCATATCAATATGATAGTATGTGCATACATAACCGAAATAAAGAGCGTCATAACATACGGTTATAGTTGCTTCATAATCTGTAAGTGAGGTCTCCAATCTGCCTCCTTGCGGTAAGACCGTTTTATTCTCTATAATACTACTCAAGCCATTTAATCCCCACACCCGCAAGGACAAGACCTTGAGGGGCTGTTTTAGCGTTTTGTAAAGGCCAATCAATTAGCGTAGTTAAAAGGTCCTTCCAAATTTGTTTCACACAGTGGACCTGCAGGTTGCACCCGGCCATGCACCGGGCAGCTTCCACGCCCAGCCTTGAAAAGGTACATGTATCACATACATACATACCTCATGTACTTACCTGCCTACCAGGTACACACGCTAATCAATGTTAAGGTATGCGCTTCAATGTTTCACCGGTAATTTTATTGGGACTTATCTCGTTCGAGATCTCGGCGCAGGCTAAGATCAGCAGGTACTTTAACAGTATCCTTCACCTTTTCCTTTTTCATTTTCTTGTTTCTAATCCACTCAATTCTTCTAGGCACTGCTGCCATTAAAGAAAAAGCAGCTTCTCTCAAGTTGCCTTTTTATTCTTCCCTTTTCCTTTATTACCTCATTATCTTAGGTACTTTTTTTCAGCCTTTAGGTACTCAACCTTCTTTTTTCTTCACCTCGTATTTCTGACGAACTCTATTGCGTCACACCTTGGCGGCTCTGCAGCTGGTCTGAATAGCTAGCACTGGATTTCTAGACGAAGTCATCATACAATTACCTACAATCTCGTGCCGGAGACCAAGGGGCTGATCAGCGTATTCGAAGAGAGATCATCCATCTTCTTCGATTACCATTCAACTAATTCGTCCGTCAAAAGTTGAACCCCGGTGTTTCTGTTTGGTCGTAGGATTACGAGTTTAACTGCTGGTGTTCGCCAATAGTAAGACCAACGGCAATAGTAGTAACACACTCTGTCCTTAGTCGATCAAGATCTCTCAAGTCGAACAAGATGATAGACCTATCAAGCGCAAGACCAACCTCCTTCCGGGTCAACAATGCTTTAGTAAACTGGGCTCCCGATATGCCGATGATGGCAATAGAAAACACTCACGATTCCCATCCTTCTATTGACCACTTGATCCTACTGGTCTTTGAGGCTGTGCTGGAGGTCGTCTGTGTCAGCTTGCCCGGATACATTATCGCAAGGTTAGGACATTTCGACGCCGACAAGCAAAAGTTCCTAGCGAATCTCAACGTCATGCTATTTACTCCATGCCTAAGTATGCGCATATGGACGGGTCTGTTCTTTTGGTATAATACTAACAGATAGGCAGTTTTCACCAAATTAGCATCACAGCTTAACGCCGACAAACTTATCGACCTCGCAGTTATACCTTTCATCTTTATCATCCAAACCAGCATATCTTACTTGGTATCCATATGTGTCTCGAAAGCATTCCGTTTTTCGAAGCGCCCGGCGAATTTCGTTACGGCTATGGGTGTATTTGGAAATTCAAACTCGCTACCGATTTCCCTCGTTATTTCGCTCTCGCAAACTCTGAAGGGGCTCCATTGGGACAGAATACCAGGCGACAATGATGATGAAGTAGCCGCACGCGGCATTTTATATCTTTTAATATTTCAGCAGCTTGGACAATTGGTCAGATGGAGCTGGGGATATCACGTTTTGCTAGCACCCAAGAACAAGTACGAAGAGTACCAGGATGAGACGGTAGAAGAGGGCAGATATAGAGATGATGTACCTCGAGACGACGTTTTGATTCCAGGTCTTGACGGAAACGTTACCGAGAATGATGACCACAACGACTCAGATGAGTCGGACGAGTCGGACGTATACGAACCGGCCGGCCGAACTCCAGTAGTTGGGACTTCGGTAGCATCGCCCGCCGAGTCTGATGACGAAACTGCCGCGCCAAGAAAACGATCAGCGAAGGGGTATAGCAATGGTACTAATTCCCCCAACGGTCACTCCGTAACAACCGGGCCTAGCGACATAACATTGTTTCCTCGTATGCGAGACTTGAATGACACGGACATTCCAAGTGGAGTTAAGGGATGCTATGTGCGCGCATGTCTCGGAATCAAGAAGGTTACTACGTCCATTAAGCAACGCATCGTTCTGCTTTCTACACGCGCATACAAAGGTTTACCCCATCCGATCCAGAATGGTCTGGCTAGGGTATGGAGAGGGTGGCTCCGAGTTTACAACTTTTTGTGGGATTTCATGAACCCACCACTCTGGGCCATGCTTATTGCCATTATCGTGGCTTCGGTACCTGACCTACAGCGAGTATTTTTTCAAGAAGGAACATTCGTCAACAACAGCGTAACCAGAGCAGTATCTCAGAGTGGCGGTGTCGCCGTACCTCTTATTCTAGTGGTGCTTGGTGCCAACCTCGCTCGAAACACGCAAGCCCAGAAGATTAGCGACCCCGAAGAACAACAGATTGGAAAGCGCCTCCTTGTAGCTTCGCTCATTAGCCGCATGTTACTCCCTACCCTTATCATGGCACCTATTCTGGCGCTCTTCGCCAAATACGTCCCCGTTAGCATATTGGACGACCCAATATTCATTATCGTCTGCTTTCTGCTCACGGGTGCGCCGAGCGCTTTACAGCTGGCACAGATCTGTCAGATCAACGAGGTATACGAAGGAGTCATGTCAAAGATCCTGTTCCAGAGCTATGTTATTTGGTAAGTCATATATCATGCCAAGTTTCATATGAATTCAAAGTATTAACGGTTTCTAGGATTCTCCCCTCAACATTAGTGCTCGTCATGATGGCGCTAGAGACGGTAGAATGGGCAAGATGATAAAAGTGTAGTCATTCGGTATCCAACCACTTGTACACTTGTATTATATAATGTGCGATGCGCGGGAAAAAAGAAAGCAAGGAAAAACTAGCTTGAGCAATGGTCCGGCGTGAAGATGAAAATATGTTGGCTTTATGTCTCTTAGTCATTGCCTGAACACTTTAACCGAGTGCGAGACTGACTAGGTATATTGTGACATGACGAGGTTTGGCACTGACATGACGAGGTTCGGCACTGCACGGCGAAGACCGTTCAACAGGATCGATACTTGTTGGAAGTCCAATGTACTTTTTGTACATTGAGGGGATAGGTCCCTTAGATACATAGCTCAAGTCAATGTTCGGGAATGTAATAGCTACATGTATCCAAATACATATGTGATTTTGTATACTGTGCAATGGCAATAACTTTTTGGATTAAACAACCCCAAATGACTCAAGTTGTCTAAATTCATTGAAGGGCAATACATCTTACGGCGTCATACGATTAGATAACATGGACCCCGCCATACGATTATTTATGGAAATCACTACATACAAGTATGTACCTTATGTGCCTTGTGTACATCTATAGAGGTACATGCCTATGTAACCAGTCTAACGCCGTTTCTGATAAAAAAATTCATGTAACTTCTAATTCGTTCAATCTTCAACTTACATTTTACTATTCTTTAAGTCATCAAGGATTGGTCTTTTAGCTCTCAGCCTTACATACCCCATTAACAATCTCATTCAAAAAAAAAAAAAAAAAAAAAAAAAAAAAAGAATTGACCACTACTCAACATAGGTCGTAGAAAGAGACCCCGCCATCAAAAAGGCCAAAAACCGTACCCGCGGTCAAGAAAAATGGGTCAGGAGTCTTCGCATCTCATCGACCCGGACACACCGCCAGAGACATTATCGGAGCGCAGTCTTCGCGCTGTCGCACAGCTTATCAAAGATGGCGGCGCAAAAAATATCGTTGTTATGACCGGCGCCGGTATCTCTACCGCGGCTGGAAGTGAGTCCGTTCTTTTTTCCTTTTTTTTTCCTTTTTTTTCCCTTTTTCTTTCTCACTATGCAAATTATATATCGTATCTACCCAAGTTCTATATAGCCGGCCTTATCATATATCACACTTACTTATCGCGATGCAGTACCCGACTTTCGCTCCCCTAAGACGGGGCTATATCACAATCTTTCTCGCTTCAACCTCCCGCATCCGGAGGCTGTCTTCGAGATCGATTTCTTCCGCACTAACCCGGAGCCTTTCTACCTGTTGGCGAAAGAGCTTTACCCCGGAAACTTTAGCCCGACAGTCTCACATGCATTTATCGCCCTACTTGCTAAAAAGGGTCTTCTCCGCATGCTTTTCACCCAGAACATAGATTGCTTAGAGCGCGTTTCTGGTGTGCCTTCCGAGAAAATCGTTGAGGCTCATGGCAGTTTTGCTACGCAGCGCTGTATCGACTGCCGTACTGAGTTCCCTGATGACCTGATGCGCGAGCACGTTAAGCGTGGCGAGACTCCACGATGTATCCGAAAGAACTGTGGGGGTCTTGTCAAGCCCGACATCGTCTTCTTCGGCGAGCAGCTCCCTGAGACGTTTTATAATAACATCTCGATACCTAACACCGCAGACCTAATGCTTGTCATGGGCACCAGCTTGCTGGTACATCCGTTCGCCGGTCTACCGCAACGGGCACGTGAAGGTGTGCCGCGCGTACTTATCAACCGCGATCGTGTAGGCGATATGGGCTCGCGTGCAGACGACGTCTTAGTCTTAGGGGACTGCGACTCCGGGATCCGAAAGCTAGCGGATGAGCTAGGATGGGGCGATGAACTAGAGGCGACATGGAGAGCCGTAGTCGGGGAAAAGGAAGCAAACCGACAACTATCCAAGACGGAGAAGGAGGAGGAGATCCGCGACGAGCTTGATCAGCTAGCCGAGGATATGGATAATAAGTTGGGCATCTCCGAGGGCGACGACGACAAATCCGAAGCTAACGTCGCGAAGCAGGGAGAGGGCACAACGACTGTTGGAACGCATGGACCGGATCGTGCTAAGGCAGGCATTAAGAAGAGCCCTGCGCCTAGTGATGCAGCACAGCTCGTGGACGACGGCGAGACGGTTCCGGCGAAGAGCGCTGAGAGATTGGATCGAGAGGAAGGCCAGAAAGATGAGGGAAAGGATGTGGAGGCGCGAGAGCAGGATAACGCGAAGATGAGTTATGAGCCACTGCAGCCTACGAAGGAGAAGCCTGTTACGGTGGACGACAGTGTCAGGGCGGAGGACAAGGGCGGAGGTGATAAGCCTGCGCTATAAGCTCGCCTTTGGGTATTTGGTGCGGTATATACCTACCTTGCATACCTTACAAATCAAAACCACAAGTCCGTAGCGGAATCTTGTCACGGTCTCATGTGTGAGTTGTCGGTTGTGGGTTATGTATAGATTATCGTCTATAAAGACGGGCGGCCGGCCGGCCGTGTATAGATGTGAGAGACAATATATACCCACCAGTGTTTTGAGATACAGATGAGGCGGGTTTGTGTTGCTCTTTAGTGTAGAGATATATATAAATATCGATGTGTGAATGATACGAGTTGAAAGCGATACTAATACAACCGAGTGAGCTTACTAGGTGGTTTGCTACGTACCTCTATGAAGCGATTAGGTTACGTATCTAGGTACCTAGGTAAGCAGGCATTGGATTATATTGTTTTCCTGCTGGGTATCGGAGCAAGAGAGTTCATAGTCGATGGATAGTACCTCCTAATACTTGGGGAAAAGTTATAGGAGATACTACTTTTAGGAGGGCCGCATCCTACGAGACTGTCAGTAACGAACGGTAACATAATCTACTCATCACTTCTCAATGCTAGAATTATTTAGAACTAAGGCTAGGTTACAGAGAATACCTTGGCGCATCTTCCTCGCTTTTGGCGAGTGATTATATTTAGTGGTAGCTAGTAGTAGTGATATGAACATTTTCAACTTGATAATCTTAGGAGCTGCAGCAAGATGTATTAATAAGAATTAGAACTACCTACCTTTTGCGACCTACGAGGCTGGCCATCATGTATCATATATATTCAGGTTGCATAGTTGTGTATCGTTGTACGTGCTAATAGATCCAATATGAGAACCGCGTATGAAATTTTTGGTTGTCGTTCGGGCATAGTATAACGGTAGCATCACTCCGTAAGAACTCCAGTGTCATCGAATATGTTTCCTTAGTGAACCCCGGCATAACTTCAGATACTGCCTATTGACGGAAACGGTTCCTGATACATTTATGAATCAAAATCAAAATTCAAATTATATAGCCAGATAGATAGTGCCTATAAAGACTTTCTAATCTCATGAGGAAGAGACAAAATGGCGCTTCTCTTCTAAGATACCGGTATATTATAACACTAGGTAAAGCCACATACTATGTATTGTTATTACACACGCTATTACCGCCAAGACATGTGTAGACAAATATTAGTGCTTCTCACACCAAGCTAACCCTCTTTAAAGAAAAGAGATATAATGATATTTGGAAATACCCAGGCTGGCCGAGCGTAGCGGTCGGACTACTTATTAGGACACGCGCCGGCGAACTTGTCCTCTTTATAAGGGTTTAGTGTGTATTTCATAATACCCTATATTGCCATGTTTACTAGGCAGGAACCAGTATCGGCAATGCTGTCGCTTAACTACATATATACGGCAATTTGTACGAGAAGCTGAGTGTGCTGATTGCCTCGTCTACCTATGTATGTATGCAGTTCTGCGGCTGCGATGCAAGGGGATAGGAATCTAACCTAGTCTATATCGGTGGTGATAGTGTGGTTTGTTTCGCCTAGTGTAAGTCGTCGTCCGGTCGGGACGGGGCGAGCTAACGAATTAAAAATAGGAATACGAGGTTGTCACATATATTTTACAAGCACATAATTATCAGCCTTGACCGGATGAGGAGTTTAACCGCACGCGCTATTCAAACTACACATCATGGTTTGAAGTTTCGAGTCGCCAGTATTGGTTAGACGGTTTCAGCAGGGCCATTAAACGTGAGGATTCGGATGGCTCCGAGCTACTATGTTCGTACATAATGTCCCTCATCCCCGTTTGATGTTTCTCAACCGTTGTTGATAAATTCAAACCTACCAACAACAACATCTCTAGGTAAGACAAGGCATAGTGATAAGTCTTCGACGTGGCATCCCGAGTTGAAGGTTTCTCTCTCTTCTTTGTTCGTATGGAGTGGGTAAGTTGCCATGATATCCTCTTTAGCTAATAGCCTAATACAAACAAAGATGTCATACGAAGGCTGTAAATTAGTTAAAGACGGCCTTGCCGAGGAGTCCTAAGAACTAAGAATATAATATGCTCTAATAGGATGACTAATTTATTCTCATTTTATATATAACTTCATCCACATGGACTTCGCTCACTTTGTTCATACTGATGAAAATCTCTAATAGGTCACTGTTCGCAGAAAAGCATGTGCGGAGTCTAAAGAACACTATCGGTACAATTCTAGCGCAAATGAACCCCTGCCAAGACAAGCCAGGGTTGTCTATTCCCTGTCAATATGTTCCCCTGAATTTTATGGGGCCGTATCCCCTTGTATCCCTTTTCCTTTTTTGGGGTCCTGTGCCCTCACGATACATGGAATCAAGACATCAATTCTCATAATTTGAACCATACACATCAGTAGTTTACCCATAGAACGTAGGTTGCTATTCGCCCTGCAGTTACCTATGCATAATGTTGTAATTCGCCCCGTTGTGATCATATCAATGCCGCCTTTACGCCATTTCTAATTCTCACTACACAGGTTTACTTCATAAGTATTTATCCCTTCTTTACCTAACTGCTCTGTCAGGAACAAGAGAACTAGACTTCTGGCTTGGCGACTTCGAAGAATACTACCTCACACCACCCGCCGCGTGACAATTTCGGAATTGCAGGAGAAAAAAAATTCATCACGATCCCTCCTAAGACTATTCTTACCTTACCCTTATTATTTTCTGCAAATAGAAGCCAGCCGCTGCCAGATTTATCAAGATTTCGGAGGATTGTGCATGGCATCCTAACATACAACGTCGATTGCATTGTGACGCCGAGCTCTTGGTCGCTATTAGGATCGACATGTACTGCTAGCATCCTCGTTTCAACCCCGCTGTATCCAACACGTCCCTGTCGCGCGCTCCTGGTTCCGAATCTGCGGTCCGAGCATATCCCTTCTGAATTCTACACATACCTAGTTTAAACTTTCTTTTCTTGATTTCTGCTATTCTATACAGTCATTACCGTCTTGGTTGTTAGGGAGAGAGAGTGCGCGCTCGCGTGTAAGAGTGAGAGTACGGTAATCTTAGAGGTGGAAAGCAGCGCATGTATAATTGTGAAAGGAAACAATGGTCTCATTCTTTGGGTTTAAGCTCGGTGGCGAGAAGAAAAAGTGAGTCGGAATAAGTCTTGCGTAGTACATCTATCTGACTAACAATATCCAGAAGCCGAGAAGATGAAGAGGCTTCACCAACGCAGGTTCGTAGGAAACTTGTTAGAGAACCTCTAGATGAGGATTTTCCCACGAGGGAGGGCGGGAAAGCCGCATCTCATAGTGCCAACGTCTATTCGGTATCCCGTCCCAACACGTCTCATTCAGTCAAAATCACGGCTATGCAGGCGAAACCATCTCCCTACGGCGCAGACATGGCCAATGTAGCTACTATGAACATATCCGAACTTCCTCAGCCAGGTTTTCCGGCTTTAAAGCAACATTCGTCGAATCCCATCTTGGGAAGTGGTAGTGGTTGGCAAAATAGCCCGATTCAGGACATAGTACCTCCAGTTCCTATGCGAAATCCTTCAAGGCCAGCTACTCCCGTTCAGCAGAAGCAGACAGTCTGGATGAATCCCCTCGAAATGCATTCTACCACAGGTCCCCCACCGTCCTTGGCATCGGCGCCCTTACCATCGCTGAGCAAACATCAACTTAAACTAGAAATCCCTAATGATACGGCCCCCTTACCTAGGGAGGAGGATCCATCAATGCCTCCGGTACCTCCGCGGATAAGGCCAAGCCCCGGTCCACACTCTGCCGAGTCACCACAGAGAAGTCAGTCACCAAGTAAGCCACCATCTCCTCCGCAGTCGATTAGGGGCGGAACGCCGGTCTTGGGACGCCCGCCATTTCCTAGGGAGGACATGTTCCGTCCGTCAAGCAGAGGCAGTCACAGGAACGGGCCGACTACGCTTAAAGAGGTACAAAATGTCAGGGATATGCCGAACTACGGGCATTTTGGACCGGCGTCGATTCCTTCGCCTATAGCGACTCCCCGTGTTAGCGAAGACCAAGTTCAGGGCGGCTTAGCGAATATCTTGGGCGATCCCGGTATCCATATCCGGTCAGTCGGGGCAAGACGCGACACAGTAACTTCCCTTTCAGCCCCCATCCTGTCCCAGAGACGAAGCCTCGAGATGCGAGTAGAAGAGCTCACGAGACCGCGCATGGAGGAACCAATACAGCGTCCAAGGACATCGAACGGTCCCGAGATGCGCAAGCTCATGCGACCTCCGCCGTTGAACATCGATTCTCGTCCGAGAACCCCCGACCGCGCCGGCACTTATCCACCACCGTTCGCCATGAATCAGAAACCTCAGTCGCCGATGCAGAGTCCACGTAGGATGCCGAGGGATAGAAGTGGCCCGCCACCTGCTGCCGTCGGGGCGCGTAGACCAAACACTAGAAATGTGCGCAGACCCGCCGCAGACGAGTACGTGATTCAGCCGTCGTCTCAACCGTCGTCTCAACCACAATCCCGATCTCAATCGCGATCTCAGTCCCGGGCCAGGAGAATGTCTCAGGACAGCATTGGTTCCAACTATGACCGGCCGACCTCCCCCGACAGCCCTCTAATGCCGCGCACCGGACCGCTAGCAGGAAGCCCATACATCACGCCCATCGAGGCGCCACTAGCACCACCGCCGCTCAAGAACGCGAGCTCGCGTTCGCGTCTACAAGAAATGGAACTATTCCTTGCCGACGGGGATGAAGAAGAGGCCGAGTTAGACGAGCCGCTAATTCCCCCACGCCTAGGTAACCGCAATGTTCCGACTCCAGATTCCACGATGTGGCCGATGCCCTCGCCAACCGCCTCCTCATTCGATGATTACTCGCGCGTTGGATCCCCCTTTGAGACACCGCCTCGCATATTAGCGGATATGGCTAGGGGAGGTAACGTAATGATTGGTTCGCGATCAGAGTCGCCGTTTGGGATTCGGTCTTTTAATTTCAGCCGGCCAATGACGCCGACTCTAGGACATGCGCCGCCGCGCCACGATTTTAGTCACCTTAATCATTATGGTGGTAATAGTGGTGGTCACAATGTAATCGCAATGCCGCCGAAACGCTCCGAGACCGCCCCCTTATCACCTGGATTCCGCGACCCGCAGGCCTCGCCGGCATTTGGTAGGCCGCTACCGCCGAGGTCAAATACGGTGTCTCCCGGCATGGGCCATGGGCACGGCCGTGGCCTTAGAAGCCCGGCAATCGTGGGGGATGATTTCGGGCGTGGTGGGTTTATCTAACCTAGCCTTGTTATTGTTATGGTATATCATGTTGCGGCTGGCTGGCTAGCTGACTTCGATTCACATACGCCTACTAACAGTCAGGCGGAAACTGATAACATTCGTTTTTAAGCTTCAGTTTCCTGTTATTTCTCTCCTTTGTCCTTAGAATATCGCATAGCAGCGCGTCGCGTCACGTTACATTACACTATCGCATCATCTTCAGCCGAGATACCCCTTATATATTCACACATACCCGTAACATTATCTTTACGTTACTATACTTTACTTCCTTTGTCGATAT